AGGGTCGGCACCGGCACGCGCGGCGCACCCGGGACCGGCCATCCGCACGCCCAGGGGCAGGGCCAGCCCAGATTGCTCCGCAGGCGCATGTAAAGAGCCCGGTGGGCGCCATGGTGCCCGCGGGCACCAGGTTGGGGACCACGGATCTACAAGAACACGAGCCATTGAAAAGGAAGCCCGCTTCAGAAGGCAGCCTTATTTCTGACGATAGCAGGTTCTGAAGTACTTAATGTTCAGTTATCTCAAGCAGAGAGGGTGCAGCAGAGAAATGTGAGGGGTTCTGCATGCCATATAAAAATGAGCCGTCCAAAGGGTACTGAGAGAAGCAAATCTGTAGATGAGTTTGTGACTGATCTAAGGCTGAAGAACCAATGTTGCAGTGTTGGGGAAGCTAACTGCCCTGACAAGAGACAAGATTATGGGTGCGTCTACACAGCAATTCTGTTATTCTGAAATTATTTTAAAAATAATGGACAGCTTATTTCAAAATCTGTAACCCTCATTCCATGAGGAATAATTACCTATTCCAAAATAGCTATTTCAGAATAGAAGTAGTATGGATGCTCTACTGCTGCTATTTCGAAATAGCTTCTCCCCAGGGCCATTCAGAGTAATTACTCCCCAGTGCCTCCTGGGGCTCTAAATCGTGGTAACATGTCTACATTAGGAAAGCCGGCCTCGGACTAATTTTGAGGCTTCCCTGTAGCGTAGATGTGCTATTTCAAAATAAGCTATTCCGGAGTATTTCTTCCAGAATAGCTTATTTTGAAATAAGCATGCAGTGCAGATGTACCCTATGATTGTAATCTGAGCCAAACAACAATACCCTCATAGACAGGCTACTGGGAGACCTGGAATTAATCCTCATCAAGGCGATTAGAATTTGCCCAGAAAGGAACAGAAGTCCCTAATCTACAGTGAAGCTTGGAGAGGTGGACAATGCTGTGCCACTATGGCCAATATAAAGAAATCAAAACAATGGGTACATCTAGACAGCAGCACTATTTTGGGATACTTCCCAAAACAGTTAGGGTATGTCTACACTACCCTCCTAGTTCGAACTAGGAGGGTAATGTAGGCATACCACACTTGCAAATGAAGCCCGGGATTTGAATTTCCCGGGCTTCATTTGCAAGTGCGGTATGCCTACATTACCCTCCTAGTTCGAACTAGGAGGGTAATGTAGGCATACCACACTTGCAAATGAAGCCCGGGATTTGAATTTCCCGGGCTTCATTTGCAAGTGCGGTATGCCTACATTACCCTCCTAGTTCGAACTAGGAGGGTAATGTAGGCATACCACACTTGCAAATGAAGCCCGGGATTTGAATTTCCCGGGCTTCATTTGCAAGTGCGGTATGCCTACATTACCCTCCTAGTTCGAACTAGGAGGGTAATGTAGGCATACCACACTTGCAAATGAAGCCCGGGATTTGAATTTCCCGGGCTTCATTTGCAAGTGCGGTATGCCTACATTACCCTCCTAGTTCGAACTAGGAGGGTAGTGTAGACATACCCTCATTCTGTGCCTTTTAAGCAAGCCCATTATTTCTAAATATGACAGGCTTGCTAGTCCAACACCCCTGTAAACCTCATTCCACACTATGTAGACAGTGCCAAATTTCAAAATGAGCTATTTCAAAATTAACTTGAAATAAGCTTCAGAATTTGCATAGCTCAAATTGCATAGCTTATTTCAAGCTAAGGGTGCAGTGTAGATGCAGCCATATGAGGAGAAGAGGAAGAGGAAGACGAAGAGGAAGAGGAAGGAGAGCGACCTGAGACAGAAAGACACAGGGAGCTGAAATCAGAGTTCAGCAAAAATAGCAGATGGAGCCACACACACTGCCAGCCAGCACCAGTCAGGACAATGCTTGGTATACAGGAGAAGATGCAGGAACTGCAATAACTTTCATCACTTTGCAAAAGTTTGCAAGCAGAATGGAGCAGAATGGGCATAGCGTCAACAAAAAGAATGATCACAGACCCACTAGTGCTGCTGAATTCTTCATAGAAACAATGAGCAACATTGCAGTAGAAGATGTTTGGCTTGCCAGCCTTAAGGCAAATGGCATGTATTCATTGCTAAAAGATTTACCTGGAGTTGCTCAGGTCCTTGACTCAATTCATTTTTGGTTTTTGGAAAATAAAATGAAAAGGCTCCTGCTTCATTTCAATCATTGCTCTGGGGTGGAGCTGGAGCTCAGTTCAGTACGCAGGCTTCAACTCAGGGTTCAGTACACAGGCTGCCCTGGTGGGGGAGTGGACAACCCTAGCCCTCTTTCACCGCAGCAGCTTGAGGCCAGGTGAGAAGCACCTCTCCATGGCCGCTGCCACTCCAGACAGTTACCCTTGCCTTAAGGAAGAAGCTAAAAGAGGATCTGAATAGATATATTCCTGGGAATTATAGAGTGAGACAACAGATAGGGACTATCACTAGTTACTGTACATAAAAAGGATGGAACCCTTCACTTCTGTATGGACCCCAAAGAGTTAAATCAATATGTAAAAGGGAAACATTTCCAACAGCTTCAAAAGAGAAGAAATTTGGGGGAGGATAGTGGGGATAAGGATTATTTTTCTACGTTCAATTTGCCAGCAGGGTTCTGGCAAGTGCCCTTAGAAAAAGCAGAGCACATGTGCCTAATAGAGCTGCCCAAACCAGCTACCCAAGCATGCTACTGTGTAATGATGTCCAATGAACACAAGATGTCTCACCTCATAAAGAGTTTGAGAAACTGGAGGAGTGAATTGAAGAGACCTCAGTCGTGAAAGGAAGAGCAAAACTAAGTTGTGCTTGGAAGGCCTCCAAGAGGGGCATTTGTTTTACAGCACCATGGCCAAGTTTATGCATCACAGGCACTTGCAAAATCAGCTCCAAGTAAAATGGAAGTTGGGGCAAGAGGAGAGTTTTACCTTAGGGAGGAGATTTCCCAAGTGATCTCTTTCCTGGTTTTCTTGGACTTACTCGGGTGGTGGATGCAGATTTCCCAAAATCCAAGTATTAGGATTTTTGGAGGAAGTTTTTTCTTACCAGAGCCTGTAGAAGCAAGATTTTGGAATGCTCTTGCGAGCCCCCACTTCTGCATTCATCATGCCAGAGTGGGGAACACCCTTGACAACTTGACACATATCTAAGAATACAGACCAAGTCAAGCAAAAGAGCCCATGAAGGTGGCACAGAATAAATTGTCCTCCTGGAGCAATGTTTACGTTGTCTGGAAAAAAACCTGTATACTCTCACTTCCCCAAGGTAGCTAGAAGATCCTATAGCTAAACAGATGATTATGCAAATCAAATCTATTTTTGCTAGCCACGGTATATCTGCCATAGCAATGTCTGACAATGGGCCGTAGTTTCTTAAGCATGACTTTATGCAGTCTGCAGTGAGATTTGGGTTGAGACATGTAAGCACCAGCTCCGTGGGTGGATGGGAAAAGGTGTTAAAATTATGACGTGGCCAATGGAAAAGCCTGCAGAGTCAAACTCTGAGTCACAGTTCACACCATTCATCACGGAAAGCTGCCACTGAAACACATAACCATCTATAGACATTTTGTGTAACAGAAAGCTGAGAACTGGAAAGCCTGGAGTGATAGAAGTAACGTCAGAAAA